CAGAATTCTTCCCTTGGTCTGACTCCAATCCGCAACTAATACCGTCCTCTCCCAAAGGCACTTTTTGGCCGGTTTTAAAAATCCATTTCCTCCTGCAATTAATCTACTTAAATTATGCTGAGTGCTTTGAGTCTCTGCAGGAAAACACTAAAATGACCTTGTAGCCTTCCTAAATTGTGACAGTGCATGCATGAAAAACTGAATAAACAAAATGAAAAGAAAGACTATAAGACATCAGATAACTCAAAACCAGTTTCCTCTGAGAACAAGAAACAGAATGGAAAAGAACTTACTGGCAAAGGAATGTTCTTCCTGGTTGTATGCCTGAGGGCCAGGATTGACCTCAAGAAGGTCATTTGTGACCCTAGTAATGTCCTCTGCCATTCTCATTCCCATGAATGAAGTAAACTTGTCACTTAAAGTCATCTCTGCCATCAAGTCAATGCTTCCACAGAAGAGTCAATGCTATCCAGTGGAATGAGCACCTATCTAGAAATCCAGTGATGTGGGCAAGATTTGGCTCTGCCCTTGCATAGCCAAGTGACCCTGCCAAGGTCATCTCACTCTTTTGAAGTCTCAGTACAAAGGACACAACTGAAAGAACTGAAGTTCACTTCCTGAGCTAAGAAGCCAGGACTTTTTTCTTTTCCCATAACATTCTATGGTCTCAACACAGTGTTTAAGAGTAAGGGCTTCACTTACATAAGAATTAAGAATTACAAATCTGTGGCTGGGCGCGGTGGCTAACGCCTGTAATCCCAGCCCTTTGGGAGGCTGAAGTAGGCGGATCACAAGGTCAGGAGTTCCAGACCAGCCTGGCCAACATAGTGAAACCCCATCTCTACTAAAAATACAAAAAATTAGCCAGGCATGGTGGCAGGCGTCTGTAATCCCGGCTACTCAGGAGGCTGAGGCAAGAGAATCACCTGAACCTAGGAGGCGGAGGTTGCAGTGAGCCAAGATAATGCCATTGCACTCCAGCCCGAGCAACAGGGCGAGACTCCGTCTCAAAAAACAACAACAACAACAACAAAAAAAAGAATTACAAATCTGTGTCTGTGTCTGAATCTGGGCTCTGTTACTTACTGGCTGTGAGACCTTAAGCAAATTACTTTTCAGTTTCCTCACATGTAAAAATGAGGGTGACTATATTATCTACCTCATAGTGTATGAGGATATACATAATACATTTATATCCTAGCTGGTACAATGTAAGCATTCAATAAAAGTAGTAACTATAGTATCCCTGCGTTTGATTCATAGATCCTAGTGGCTCAGTACCTTAGATGTAAATTTCAAAATTACCTCAAAAAGACACCCAGCATAGCTTGGCTGGGCATGGTGGCACACACTTGTAAACCCAGCACTTTGGGAGGCCAAGGCAGGTGGATCACGTGAGGTCGGGAGTTCAAGACCAGCCTGGCTAACATGGTGAAAGCCCATCTCTACTAAAAATACAAAAATTAGCTGGGTGTTGTGGTGCATGCCTGTAATCCCAGCTACCTGGGAAGCTGAGGCAGGAGAATCGCTTGAACCCAGGAGGCAGAGGTTGCAGTGAGCCAAGATCACGTCACTGCACTCCAGCCTGGGTGACAGAGTAAAACTCCCAAAAAACAAAACCCAAAACAAGACTCTCAGCATAGCTCCCTAACATAGAATGGGGTGAGCCCATATATGGTTACAATTCTGTGGTCTGAATCCTCATTTCGCTTTGCCTTACATTTTTCTGAAACTAAAAGGGGATAAAAATGCCTTGTAAAATCTTCTCTAGTACGGTTTGGGGATTTTTATTTATTTTTTGGGAGACTGAGTCTCGCTCTGTTGCTCAGGCTGGATTGCAGTGACACAATCTCAGCTCACTGCAACCTCCGCCTCCCGGGTTCCAGCAATTCTCCTGCCTCAGTCTTCCGGGTAGCTGGGATTACAGGCGCCCACCACCATGCCAGGCTATTTTTTGTATTTTTGTAATTTTGTTTCATCACATGTGCGAGGCTGGTCTCAAACTCGTGACCTCAAATACCACCTGCCTCGGCCTCCCAAAATGCTGGGATCAGAGGCATGAGCCACTGCACCCAGTCTCCAGTAGTTCTGACCAAAGAAAAAATGTGTAAGTATAAATGAGATAACAGAATAATTTGTCATAAGAATTAAATAAGATTCCATAGACACAGCCTATAAAGCATACAGCTTAATTTCTGCTTGAAGAAAAACCTGAGGTTCACAAGTTTTCAACATAAACTCAGATCTACTGAGATTTCCTGAGAGTTCAAGATTTCTAGAGTGGTCAATTCCATATCTTAACAAGGTGGCCACGGGTGTAAGGGGCTAACATGGAATGAAGGTGGTCACCAATGCTGAAGGGCAGGTTGCTGCAGAAATGCCTGCTGAATAAAAAAGGTGTACATATACGCTCATTTTTATCACCTTGTCTAGCCTTAGTAAAAAAGAAACTAAATCATAATAGATCTACAGCATTCTTCATATTTGGTTAACTTGATGACTGAGCCAAATGAGCCTGAAATGACCAATGTACGAAATGCATGGCAAACCCTATTTTCACTTGTAGCTTTGCCTCTCTCTTCCACAGTGAAATATTATTGTAAATAAAGACGAGGGAGGGCTTCACCTAAGCACATCAAGACATAAAGCAATTAAGATTTCCAACTCACTGGTCTCCTCTCAAACCCTGATGTAAAGGTTTCCATGCAAAACTGGAACTGCAAATATTTTGTCCTATCCAGTCTTAATTTTACACATTCTTCAGGATAAGCATATCCTAGAATCAATATCCCACAGTCTGAAGAAAGTACTAGGCCTTTGAATAGGTCCTCGTATTTGGGGACACCCTGAGGAACTGGTGATGTTTGAAAAACCTCTCCAGTGAGCTCCTTACACTATGCACTTGGTAGTTCCTTGCCGCTTGGCATAAATTACCTCCATACACAGAAGACTATCTGTAATATTCTGAAGCTTGGTTTTAAGGAATGCACTCTTCAAGTTTCTGTACATATTCTTCCCCATTGTCTACCTGGATTCAGGAAAAATGCAGCAATTTACTTTGTAAATCTTCCCTTTCACAATAGAAGCCAAGGAGCACAATTTGAATACCTAGCTGAAGAACCCATATTCTATATGGTTACAATTCTGTGGTCTGAATCTTGAAGCAGCACAACAAATTCTTACGAATTATAGTCTTCCATTTAATACACTCTGAACACCCAGAAATCAAAGTAGATGATCCATTTGGAAATATAAAATTATCTGGAAGTTTGATTAGTCAGGTTTATGTTGATAGCTGATGTAGCCGATAAAATTACAGTCTCTGGCATGAGGCAACCTGGGTTTGAATTCCAGCTCAACCACTTACTGAGTGACAACAGACAAGCTACTTAACCTCTCTGATCCTCAGTTTCCTCATCTACAATATGGGGATGATAATGCCTACCTACTGGTGTTAAAATGTGCCCCAAAATAGCAATTCTCTTCTTCTGCTTATCAATTCCCTTCTCCAGAAAATGTAGTTGCATTCACACAAAACTGACTAAATTTGAAAACGATAGGAGTTTCTTGAAATTGGTATGAAAACAAAAGAGTACCATCTAAAGCTAAAAAGGACTACCTAACAAAAACAAGGAAAAACGAATTAGGAAAACACAGAGGTTTAACATAAATGTGTTTCCATGGCCCTCACACATTGGAAGGAGCAAATGTAAAGCAATACAAGTAACTATGATTCAGATTCAGTAGAAAAGGAACATATCCCCAACAAGTTAACTGGAATGACTCTGGATTGGAATAAAAACTTTTTGAATATAAACCAGAAAGTGTCGACAAGTCCTGTTCCTTAAGAAGCTATGCACTGGCTTTTTTTGGTTTGGAGCTATTTATTTGAAAAAACAAACAAAAAAATCAAAGTACACATGGGAGTGGGTGTACTTTCTAGGCACATATACAAGGAAATAAATCAAGACTCAAAATTTCTGGCTAGCTCCCTTTCCCTTAAAGGGGAACCTAACAATATTTACTCAACAAATAACTACCAAGTACCTAATATTTGCTAATGTAGCTTTGGAAACTCAGCCATGACCTGTATCCTTCCCAGAGCAGCAAATTTCATATACAATATCTCAAAACTACTTGTATGGTCCTGAGACTCAAAATCTATAACTGCTCTATTAATACACTTCCCCAGTCCGAAAATATTCCCTAAAATCCTTCCTATATCAGACTTAGTCACTTTAAATCTGACACTACTTAATGCTGTGCCTCCTAGGCTCGGACAGAGCACACGTATCAACAGGATCCCTCTCTCGGTTTACTTGCTCCTCACATCACATCCCAGGTCCGTTGACTCTGGACTCCAGGGCTCCACCAAAACCTCAGTGTTTAAATGCTTGCACTCTCCAGCAAAATCCCTGATCTGATTCTACCGTTCAGCTATGCCCCTAGCCCTGATGCCTCTCTTCCTACACCATGCACTCACACAGTGGATTTCAGGGCCACTTCCAAACTAGGTCACACTAGCATCCCTTCGAGAGGATCTCAGATCCTCTCACCCTGTCACTTGGGTTTCGGTGTTTCCAGGCCTGGAACCGTGAGGGCCTGCACACCCCCATCTTGCGCCATACATGTATCAGGAAAAGCACCTCTGAAAGTGAGTGTCCCCCATTCCAGGCCGTGGCCTAAGCGACCCCCAAAGTACCTGCCAGGCCATCACCCTCTCTTTCCCCTTAAAGCCTCTAGGCTCGCCCTCCTGCCGCAAGCCCACGCCTGCGCCGCAGGGGGTCACTGCCCCAGCTGCCCTAGCCCAAGACGCGCGCATCCCCGCAGCCTCAGATTCCTTCATCACCCCCTAGGCCGGAGCCGGCGCGACCAATAAGGTGCCAGGTCCGCGGCCTCCCCGCCACCGACCAATCACGAGCGAGCCCCCCCGCCGTCGCCTTCCGCCAATGGGAGAAAGCCCGCGGGCCGGGCCGACGAGGCACACGGACCACACGAGCGCGGCGGCGGCGACAGCGGCGGGCCAGGCAAGAGCACAACATGGCGGCGAGCAGGCCGGACCGAGCTACAGCAGCGGCCGCGCGAGGAAGTGAGGTCTCTGGCGAAGGCGGGAAGCGCTGCCCCTCCCCCCGTCGCCGCTCCCCTATCACCCTCGCACAGAACCTCCCGCACACTCACACGCCTCTGCTCAGGAGTCCAGGAAGAGTAGGAGCCGCCCCCGCGCTCCTTCGGAGTCGGGCAATGCAGAGGCCCAGGCACGGCGGAGGGGAGGGGGAAGCCGTGCGTCACGGAGAACGGAGCGCGCGCGAAGCGGGGGCACAAGCAAGATGGCGGCGACGCCGTTTGCACCGTCTCCGCTTTTCCCCTCCCCCTCCCCTGGCGCCTGGACTCCCAGTATCGTGCAGCGCGCAGAAGCGCTGCTGCTTGAGGTCTCGCGAGAATTGGGAAGGGGCAACGACAGAGTGAAGCGGAATGAGAGCTGGGAGTTTTAACACCGCCCTCTTTCGGAAGCTCGAGATCTCAGAGTTTTGACCCCGCCCCCTTTCGGGGATCTGGAGGCGCCGCCAGGTGACCTCCACCACGCTTCCCACCCTTGTGGATCTGTCTTTGGTGCGAGCTTGAATGTTAAAAGATAAGTAGGTGTGTGCGCGTGCCCTTGAACTTTAGGAACTAAGGAGTGGCGTGTGTGCGTATTCGTGTTTTTAATTTGGGGAGAAAGAACTGGGGGATGAAGGTCGACATGGCATGCCAAATTTTTTTTTTTTTTTTTTTTTTTTTTGAGATGGTGTCTTGCTCTGTCGCCCAGGCTGGAGTGCAGTGGCGTGATCTCGGCTCACTTCCAGGTCCGCCTCCCGAGTTCACCATTCTCCTGCCTCAGCCTCCCGAGTAGCTGAGACTACAGGCGCCCGCCACCATGCCCGGCTAATTTTTATTATTATTATTATTTTTAGTAGAGACGGGGTTTCACTGTGTTAGCCAGGATGGTCTCGATCTCCTGACCTCGTGATCCGCCCGTCTCGGCCTCCCAAAGCGCTGGGACGACGGCATGCCAAATTTAGCATGCCGTTCAAGTAGACAGCTATTGGCACCTTAAATTTATAAAAGAGCAATTAACACCAAACTGTAAAGTGATATTCTCCAGAATAAAGAACAGTACTTACCAAGAATAGTTAGCTTGTAACTTTACGTCGACATAGTTGTTCTCATTTGAATACAGATTTTAAAACTTCATCACGCAGTTGGAAACCACAGCTACTGTGAGCATGGACTTTTAAATACTTATCTCTCTTCATTTCCATGACCACTTGGTCCAAAGGCATCAGGATTATATCCATTTTACAAATGATAAAACCGAAACTCAAAAAGGTTTAAGTAATTGATCTAAGGCCCCACAGCTAGTAAGTGTCGAAACCCAATATGAACAACTTCAAAACCTGTAGATATAGTCATCAAATGTGTCTTGAATGGAATTACCTACAATGAGAGTTAGTGCATTAGGTAACAAGCCCTGAGAGGAATGACTGCCTCTGCTGATGGTAACCTTGAATTTTACAAATGACATTGGAGGCTTTCTGGGACTAATGTTGCGTGGGTCCTCAACAAAATCACACTGTTACTCAGTTTCTTTGGGTTTATAACCCTGGTGATAAAGTAATTGAGAATAGTGGAATAAACCCTTGACTTGAATTCAGGAAAATTGTTCTCAAATCTAATTTCAGTAAATCTCACATCAGGCACTCAATATTTGATGAATGAATGAACAAAACGTAACTATGAGACAGTTGACTTCAGGGAGTCCCAATTCCTTCTTCTATAAAAAGATCTAATTCCTCACTCTTGGTAATGTTGGGGAGAGTGAATGAAATAATGTGAGAGTGCTTCCTAAATTGCAGAAGTGTTGTAAAGAAGTTACTGATAAGAGCTATGAGCGTCTCGCTGCACTCTAGCCTGGGCAACAGTGCAAGGCCCTGTCTCAGAAAAAAAAAAGTTACTTATAATGACATTTTCAGACATGAGAAACGGCATAAAATTAAAAACCGGGAGACTCCAAATAAGAAAATAGTATGTTGAGACTGTAGAGACAGATGTAGCTAATGGAAAAAGGTGAGGTAAGTCTCTACAGATATTTATTGAGTAATTATTGCATATACTATGCTTGCCAAAGAAATGTAAAAATGTACATTTAGTTACAATGAAGCAGCGCAAGTTATTATTTGTGATTATTGTTATAATTAAGTATTGACCACACTTAGGGAGTGCAGTCCATTTCCTTCCAAGAGCCTGGAAATTGGGTTGCCCTCAGAAATAAAAATCTACATAGAGGAAATTAGCTAAGATTGATATTAAATATATTTAACAACAAGTAGTGCTCAAGCATAGAGGAAGCAGAATTAGAAATGCAGCTAGGATCCTGGAGGTATCCCTGTGTGCTAGGTGTTAACCGTTCAGTTGCTGGTTTGTGACTAGTAGGTCCCAGGGGATCCCAGGGAAAGGGAGTGGTCCGGAGGTTTGGGACAGCAGCTATTTACCAGATAGTACTAGAGTATTTCAGTATTTTAATAGTCAATGTTATAACTGATAACAGTCAGCTGGTACATATAAGCCTAATATTAGTCCTTGCTATTGTCTGTATTATCAATAGCCTCTGCCCTTCCCTTTCTAAAGCCCTTGCTATCTGGCCTGTCCCTAGGAGATGAGGGTGAAAGACTTCTCACCCTAATGTCGTCAAGCTCGGCCTTGTTTTGACCAATGAAATATCGGTAGAAATGGCATGAACCGTCCAGGCACGGTGGGAGGCCAAGGTGGGTGGATTACGAGGTCAGGAGTTCAAGACCAGCCTGGCCAAGATGATGAAACCCTGTCTCTACTAAAAATGAAAAAATTAGCTGGGTGTAGTGGCGTGTGCCTGCAATCCCAGCTACTTGGGAGGCTGAGGCAGGAGAATCACTTGAACCTGGGAGTCGGAGATTGCAGTGAGCAAAGATCGCGCCACTGCACTCCAGCCTGGGCGACAGAGCAAGACTCTGTCTCAAAAAAAGAAAGAAATGACATGAACCACTTCTGAGCAGAAATTATGAGCTATCTTATGATTTTGCCATATTATCTTTCCTCTGACACAAGAGCGGCATGTCCTAAATAGAGCTACCTCTTCAGCTTTGGTCCCAGAGTGAAGATGTGTGGAGCCACAGCTGACACACATAACCTGTAATGTTGTGTGCACAATAAATAAACCTTTTTTGTAAGCCACTGAGATTGTTTTCGTTGTTGTTGCAGCATAACATGCTAGCTAAGCAGACTAATACAGCCATGAAATTAGCTATCAATGGGGGTAAGGCAAGACTTTTTTTTTTTTTTTTTTTGAGATGGAGTCTTGCTCTGTCGCCCAGGCTGGAGTGCAGTGGCCGGATCTCAGCTCACTGCAAGCTCCGCCTCCCAGGTTTACGCCATTCTTCGGCCTCAGCCTCCCGAGTAGCTGGGACTACAGGCGCCCGCCACCTCGCCCGGCTAGTTTTTTGTATTTTTTAGTAGAGAGAGGGTTTCACTGTGTTAGTCAGGATGGTCTCAATCTCCTGACCTCGTGATCCGCCCGTCTTGGCCTCCCAAAGTGCTTTGATTACAGGCTTGAGCCACCGCGCCCAAGCCAAGACCTTTTTTACAAACATGACCAAAAAAAAAAACAAACTCTGATCAAGGGCATATGGGAGGAATCTGAAGACGCCAGATATGATTGTAATTTAATAAATGGAACCTAATCAATCCTGTCAGCCATTCTGTACCCTGTTTGGAGAAAGTCTGTGAACAAAAGGACTTGCTCAGCCATGGCAGTCCAAAACAAGGCAGTCACAAAGGCTAGCACTACCATTGCCCCTCTAAGTCTCATCTCAGTTAAACCACACTGAGCATTAGGATTTCCTTGTCCATATCATCTCTGTAGTGGATGGGAGTATCTCAGACTGCCTCAGCTAAGAAATGCTTCTTAAGATCATGCTTTCCTCGAATGGTGTGAACCTGGGAGGTGGAGATTGCAGTGAGCTGAGATTGTGCCACTGCACTGCAGCCTGGGCGACAGAGCAAGACTCCGTCTCAAAAAAAAAGATCATGCTTTCCTCTATGTTCACCCAGCAAGTGTCTTGGCAATAGGAACAGAATTAAGTGAGCTGCCACCTAGAGGATTCTAGTTCTTTTGATAATTGTATTTTTCATTGTAACTAATCAGATTCCTCTTTATATAAAAGCTTCTGTGAGCTTAGCAAATATAAGACACCCCCCACCTCCAGGAAATGGTTCAACTTTCTGCTTACTATTAAAATTAGGTTTCTGAGTTTGCAAGGTTAAACATCAGTTCTTCTATCATGGTAATTTCCATAAGGTTATAGCACTGTATAACGGGACCTGTCTAGACAGCCAGCTGGACTTCCTTAAGCCACACCTTTCTATCTCATTGTGTGCCTTTGGCCTAAAAGGAAAGCAGCGCTGGCCAGGCGTAGTGGCTCACACCTGTAATCCCAGCACTTTGGGAGGCCAAGATGGGCAGATCATGAGGTCAGGAGTTCGAGACCAGCCTGATCAACATGGTAAAACCCCATCTCTACTAAAAATACAAAAATTAGCTGGGCGTGGTGGCATGTGCCTATAATCCCAGCTACTCAGGAGGCTGAGGCAGGAGAATCACTTGAACCCGGGAGGCAGAGGTTGCAATGAGCCGAGATCGTGCCATTGCACTCCAGCCTAGGTGACAGAGCGAGACTCCGTCTGAAAAAAAAAAAAAAAAAGGCAGCACTAAAAGATATAGTTTATGTGCTGCTGGAGTTCAAAAAGGGAGTGCTTACTTCCACTTAGTGTGAAATAGTGGGAGCAGTTCGGGAAAGATTTGCAAGGATGTGACATTTCAACTGGGTCTTGAAAAATGAGTAGAATTAGGGAAGACGTGTAGGCAGCCACTAAAGCAAATAGAAGAAGCGAGGGATCAGTTGAGGAAGCACAGAGTAAGAGGGAACGCAAGAAGAATCATATGGAAAAATACATTATTATGGTCAAATTAAGGCTCTTGGGCTTTATTTTTTGCTATGGGAAGTGAGTGGTAGAAGTTTTTTGTTTTGCTTTTAAACAAGTTTAACCATCTAATTTATTTAGGAGACAGAGTTTTGCTCTTGTTGCTCAGGCTGGAGTGCAATGGTGCAATCTCGGTTCACTGCAACCTCCGCCTCTCGAGTTCAAGCGATTCTCCTGTCTCAGCCTCCCGAGTCGCTGGGATTACAGACACATGCCACCAGGCTTGGCTAATTTTTGTATTTTTAGTAGAGTCGGGGTTTCATCATATTGGTCAGGCTGGTCTGGAACTCCTGACCTCAGGTGATCCACCTGCCTTGGCCTCCCAAAGTGCTGGGATTACAGATGTGAGCCACTGCCTTGCCCCTGGCCTAAGTTTAACCATCTTGAAGTATACATTTCAGTGACATTAAGCCTGTTCATGTTGTTGTGCATCCATCAGTAGAATTTGTCATTACCCCATACTGAAACTCTGTATCCATTAAACACTAACACACTATCCTCTTTTCCCCCAGCCTCTGGTAATCACCATTCTAGTTTCACCTTTTGGCCACTATGAATGATGCTTCTGTGGACATTAGTATACAAATATCTGCTGGAGTCCCTGCTTTTGATTGTTTGGGGTATATACCCAGAAGTGAAGTTGCTGGATTATATGGTAATTCTATGTTTGGTTTTTTGTTTGCTTTTGTGTTTTTTGAGGAGCTACCATACTGTTTTCCGTAGCATCATACCATTTTACATTCCCAATGGTAGAAGGTTTTACAAAAGATAGTGACATGATCAAAACTATGCTTAAAAGCAATCTGGAAAAGAGAGTAAGATGGAACAGAGTGGCAGAATGACCGTGTGGAGACTTTCACAATAGTTTAGGCAAGATACAATGAGGGTGAGGGCCTGAACACATCAGCCGCAGTGAGAATGAGGGAAGAGGATACAAATGCTGAGGTGATACTGCCAAGGAAAGATTGTAAGGCCTTGACCATTGACTAGCTATTGAGGGTTGGGGAACAAGAAAATTACGGTTTGTTTGTTTGTTTGTTTGTTTGTTTGTTTTGAAACGGAGTCTCACTCTGTCGCCCAGGTTGTAGTGCGGTGGTGCAATCTCGGCTCGCTGCAAACCCCGCCTCCTGGGTTCACGCCATTCTTCTGCAGCAGCCTCCCTAGTTACTGGGACTACAGGCACCCACGACCACGCTCGGCTAATTTCTTTGTATTTTTTTAGTAGAGACGGAGTGGGTTTCACCGTGTTAGTCAGGAAGGTCTCAATCTCCTGACCTCGTGATCTACCTGCCTCAGCCTCCCAAAGTGCTGGGATTACAGGCATGAGCCACCATGCCCGGCCAAATTAAGGTGTTTAATATGACTCCCATGTGTCACACCTGGGAGGATGGTAGTCTTCAGATGAAGAGTCAGGGTATGGAGAAGTCATGAGTTCGGGTTTGGATATATAGAGTTTGAATTACAAGTGGCACATTGTAAGCTGTGGGGCGGACATTTGTTGTCTTGCCTGCTGAATACCCCTTGCCCTTTCAACTGGTAATGACACTCTACTTTTTTTTCTTTTGAGACAGAGTTTCACTCTTGTCACCCAGGCTGGAGTGTAGTGGGGTGATCTCAGCTCACTGCAACTTCTGCCTCCCAGGTTCAAGCTATTCTCCTGCCTTAGCCTCCCGAGTAGCTGGGATTACAGGTGCCCACCACCACACCCAGCTAATTTTTTGTATTTTTAGTAGAGACAGGGTTTCACCATGTTGGCCAGGCTGGTCTCAAACTCCTGACCTCAGGTGATCTGCCCTCCTGCATCAGCTTCCCAAAGTGCTGAGATTACAGGCATGAGCCACTGTGCCCAGCATACTTTAAAAAACAACAACAAAAAAGATTGTAGAATTTATCCTTCTTCATCTCTATATTGGCTAGGCTGGGAGGGTGTGTGGCCATGAGAATGTGCTTCTCAGATCTCTGAGTGGAGAAATTGTAATTTAGCAACAGTCCAGCTGCTGAGTTCTGAAATCCATCCTGAGCTTTGAAATCCATTGCCCTTTACTCCAAGGTCTTACTTCCCATACCCTGCTTCTAGCCAATAACTGAGCCCAGCGGGGATTTTAGGACAGGACTGTTCCTGGGATAAGTGATACTCTTCTGATGGATGACTTTGACCCAAGGACTCCTAAGTGGCTTTGCCAAACTTTCCTTAGAACTTTACTGCAGTCTGAGACACTTCCACCTTGAACACCTTCCCTCTGTCCTTCACTCAGGGTTAGGCCTGCGTCACTGTGCGATGGCTCTCTCAGTCATACCCTTCCATTTCCTCTCACAGGTGTTTTTCATAATAAATGTCTTGCATTTTATTCTGTCTTGGCATTTGATTTCCTGAGAATCTGAACATGTTAATGAGGAGAAAGAGGACAGGATGCATCCTACCATAGCACATCTTCTGTACCCCATTAGCCACAGGAGTAGGAACATGACCCAGTCTGACCAATCAACAATCTCCCCACATCTTGGCCCAGTGCCTCCTCATAGTCTCTCAGGATAATTTGGCTCCCAAACAATTAGCCACTTGGTCCACCTCAACAACAGACATAGCTGACCAAATCTAAGCAAGGTCTCACAGTTCTGTTGCTTGAGGCCAACTAGTTACAAACATGGAGTCTATGGCTTCTCCTGCAACTTCCACACCCTGATGAAGCACCACCTCACAGAGCGTGGGATTTGGCTTCCTGAAAAGCTGCTGAAGGGGCTAATGAAGCAACCTACTACAGAGGATTTAGCTACCCACAGAGCAAACTGATCAATGGGAGACAGGAAGGAGCTGGCTATAACAATCCACTCTTCCCTTCCTTCCTCTAATGGACTGTTTCAAGATAAAATTTCTCCATACAGCCTGTCTAGAGCGACATTCTGCCTGTCAAGAGACTAGCTACAGCTCATTGTGAAGAGCCAGCAAACATTTCCTTCCCTTGCTTCTCATCTTTTCCCACTTTCTCTTATCCCTAATTCTCACTACTCCAGGGCTGTGCCCCTCACATAAAACTTCAGCACTTAATCCCTCCTTCAGGCTTTGTTTTCTTGGAAACCTTGCTGAAACAGATCACAGTTTTTGAAGAGATGGGCACATCACCCAAACTAAGCTAAGCAAAGCCCTCCTAAAGATTTGAAATATAGGAAAGACAGGATTTTTCTTCTGGAGATCTTGAGCTATGAGGAACTGAGGGCAGCCATTATTCTTGCTTCATGGAAAGAGCCTGTCTGAGAACGAAGGCATCACAGAGGAAGGCAGAATTCAGACAGAGTGAGACAGAGCCCTGACATCCTTTGAACACCTAGATACAACTTTCCCCAATATGTGTAACCATTTGTCATTGCTTTGTCATTCTGAAGACCAGTTTTCCCAATCCATGTCATATAAAACATGGTAACCAATGAGTCCCAAGTTGCCTCCATTCAAAAAATCATCCAGGTGACTAGATTCTTAGGCTCAATTCCAAATTTCTGGGAGGAAGAGCTCTTGTTAGAGCTAACTTTGGCCAAATGTCCACCACTGAATCAAGTAATATTATGGAAAAGGGGACAGGGTCATGCATAAAAATGGTTGTGTCCACTGTAACTCTATGAATGAAGGTATGTTGGAGGGTGGGGGATAGAGTAACAGTTCTCAGAAAAGTAGGAGTAAAGGATTAGACAGACTAAACAATGTCTGTCCACTTCCTGAGAATAAATAAAGGGAAAGAGGGTAAAGAGGTCAGAGGACAGAGCCTTTATCCAAACAACACTATCCAACAGAGCTTTCTGCGTGGTAGAAATGCTTTATATCTGTGCTGTTCAATGTAGTAGCCACTAGCCACATGTGGCTGTCAAGCATTTGAAAGATGGTTAGTGCAACCAAGAAATTGAATTTTTAATTTCATTTTATTTAAATTTAAATAGCTACATGTAGTATCTTAGTTTTCTGCTGCTATAACAAAATACCAAACACTGGGTAATTTATAAAGAAAGGAAATTTATTTGGCTCATGGTTCTGGAGGCTTGAAAGCCCAAGAGCATGGCACCAGCATTTGCTCGACATCTGGTGAGGGCCTTCTTGCCACACCATAACATGGCAGAAGATATTATATGGTTAGTAAGTGTGCATGTGAGACAGAGAGAGGGAGTAGGGGCCAAACGTATCCTTTTATCAGGGGTCTTCTCCCTCCATAACTAACTCATTCCCGTGCGTTAATCCATTTATGATGGCAGAGCCCTCGTGACCTCATCACCTCTTAAGTGTTCCACCTCTCAACATTGTTAAAATAGCAATTAAATTTCAACATGAGTTTTGGAGGGACATTCGAACTATAGCATGTAGCTAATGACTGCATATTAGATAGCATAGGTCTGAACTATTGGTCTACTTTGGGAAGCAGCATGGAATATTATCTGTAGCATGTGCTTTCAAGTTAGTCTGAACTGAGTTCGAGTCCCCATTCCATTTACTTAACCTCTCTGAGCTAGAGAGGAGAAAGATGCAAAGCAAGTTGTATGTAATACCGCAAAGAGAGAAAGAGACAAAAGATCTGCAAAAGTTCGGCCAGGCACAGTGGCTCATGCCTGTAATCCCAGCACTTTGGGAAGCCAAAGCAGGCAGATCACGAGGTCAAGAGTTCAAGACCAGCCTGGCCAACGTGGTGAAACCCAATCTCTACTAAAAATACAAAAATTAGCCGGGTGTGGTGGTGGGCGCTTGTAGTCCCAGCTACTCGGGAGACTGAGGCAGGAGAATCGTTTGAACCTGGGAGGCAGAGGTTGCAGTGAACCGAGATTGCACCACTATACTCCAGCCTGGTTGACAAAGCAAGATTCTGTCTCAAAAAAAAAAAAAAAAGATCTGCAAAGGATCAAAGAATCAGTTGGATTTGGCAATTAGGGGACTATGAGTGAATTAAGACAGAGAAATGTTAAAAGTGTGATTGTTTAAAATCCAGACCAGCTATCCATCTACCTTTTGTACATGGGCTAAATTCCTTTCCTCTGGAGGGGGACCCCAGGCAGGGAGAGAATAGGAATGCAAAAGTTACCTTGTCTCTTAATCCTGTTGGTCACATGGGGAGCGAGAACTCAAAAGTATGTCCTGAAGATAAGAGTTCCAGGGTCAAGCCAAAAAAATCAGAATCAGAACCATGGTCAGTCATGGGGTGTGAAGCCAAAGGTGGGGTTACCTAGTCCAAGGAAGCCACAACCTCAGCTCACCGCAACCTCCACCTGCCGGGTTCAAGCGGTTTTCCTGCCTCAGCCTCCCTAGTAGCTGGGATTACAGGCGTGCGCCACCACACCCAGCTCATTTTTGTATCTTTAGTAGAGACGGGGTTTCACCATGTTGGCCAGGCCAGTCTTGAACTCCTGACCGCAAGTGATCCACTTGCCTTGGCCTCCCAAAGTGCTGGGATTATAGGCGTGAGCCACCGCACCTGGCCCTGCTTCCTTTTTTTTTTTTTTTTTTTTGAGACGGAGTCTCGCGCTGTGTCACCCAGACTGGAGTGCAGTGGCGCGATCTCGGCTCACTGCAAGCTCCGCCTCCCAGGTTCACGCCATTCTCCTGCCTCAGCCTCCGAGTAGCTGGGACTACAGGCGCCCGCCACCACGCCTGGCTAGTTTTTTGTATTTTTAGTAGAGACGGGGTTTCACCATGTTAGCCAGGATGGTCTCGATCTCCTGACCTCGTGATCCACCCGCCTCGGCCTCCCAAAGTGCTGGGATTACAGGCTTGAGCCACCGCGCCCGGCCCCTGCTTCCTTTTTTTTAGAGATACTGAAAGAGGGATAGACTGATGATTCTCAACCGTTTCTGTCTTCGGACAAGTGGTCTGTAAGAAAAACAAGAAAACAGTGTTTTCCAACAGAATTTATTCTTGCCACTACCCACGGAACAGTAATGAAAGCCTTATGTCCAACCTAGCTTACTTCTGTGACCGCCTGGTGCTTCACAAGCCACTGTGGGACAGTTAAGTCTCTGTAGGGGGTACAGGTTAAGATTAAAGATCCCTGTAGGCACCATAGGGCCATACATGTCAGAAACACGACTTTTCTTCAAGGTCCCTTGCCTTGGCTAGCAGTGTACAAAATAGGGTTAGGCAGGTCTTGAGAAAACGACTGTAAACATTAAGTGTGATCCTCAATTGTAAGCCTTATAGATCCTACTCAGCCATCAACCTGCTCTGTGACCTTGGGCAAGTCACTTAATCAAGTTCAATCTCAATATTTCCGCCTTATATGAGGCCGGCACGGTGGCTCACACCTGTAATCCCAGCATTCTGGGGGGCCGAGGTGGGCAGATCACCTGAGGTCACGAGTTCGAGACCAGCCTGGCCAACATGGTGAAAACCCATTTCTACTAAAAATAATCTTTTAAAAAATTAGCTGGGCATGGTGGTGCACACCTGTGATCCTAGCTACTTGGGTGGTTGAGGCAGGAGAATCGCTTGAACCTGGGAGACGGAGGTTATAGTGAGCCGAGATTGCGCCACTGCACTCCAGCCTGGGTGACAGAGAGAGACTCCATCTCAAAAAAAAGAAAAAAAAAAAAATTCCGCCTGTTTTTAAAAAAAGACATAGGAATAATTTTTTTACATTATTTTAAAATAAATTGTCTTAAGAGGGTAGAGGGAATGGGAGAAATGATAGGTATTATCCTGTGCCTCTCCTTCTTGTCCATCCTGCCTCAGTTTTTGTATCAAATAAGATGGTAAGTGTTAAAATGCTCTGAAAAGTGCAAAACACCATACAAAAGCAAGGGAGTATTATTATCAACATAGTTGTTAGCTTAGGAGGATGAAGGCAGGGCACAGACTCAGAGCCAAACAGCTGGAAGGCAGGAAATCTTAATACCATAGAAGGAAACTTTTTTTGTTCAAATTCTTCCTGGAGTGGCACTTTTTTTTAGAGCAGACTTGGCACTGAAATCCTCTGAAATGCTGAAGTGGGTCCAGAAAAGTATTAAGGGGGCAGGTAGGGCATTCAGCAGCCAAAAGACACTGGAGAAACACCAGCCCTGGTTCCTCAGTTTCTTTGTGATCCAGCAAAAGATACAATCGAAGGAGGAGTCAAATTGTATCAGCGGGTCTCAGATTCAAAGCCAGGTGGGTGTTGGATCCTCTAACAGGCTCTTTAACCAGCCACCAGACTATTTTGGGAGCCAGGATGTCAGGGGCACTCTGTAACTAATACTGAATTCAGGTGCCAACAACCTAAAAACCATTCTCTCTACACAGTGTTGAGAAAGAACACTCACCTGGAGAGGACTTTAGAGGTAATATAGTCAGACTGAGGCTCAGAGAGGGACAGGGACTTGCCAAGATAACACAGTAGAGTCAGGTTCATTGGGCTGCAGAAGCCTACCCAATTTAGCTCAAGTACAAAGGAGTTTCTTGTAAGGACTGGAACTGAAAGACGGGAAGAAGCATAGAGGTCTAGGACTCACTGGTCTATTCACTCTCTATCTCCTCGCCACTCCTCATCGCTGGATAGGATTGCTCCTTCCCCCTCTACCTACAGTCAGGCTTCTGCCTTCTCTTGGTCTCTGCTCCTACTTATCTGGGCCTGCACATGGCTTTCCTGGCCAAGATCTACTTGTCTATGACTTTTTTTTTTTTTTAGGCAGGGTCTTGCTCTGTCACCCAGGCTGGATGGAGTTGCTCACTGCAACCTCCGCATCCCGGGCTCAAACGATCTTCCTACCTCAGCCTCCCAAGTAGCTGGGACTACAGGCATGTGTCACTATGCCTGGCTAATTTTTCTTTTTTTTTTTGAGATGGAGTTTCACTCTTATTTCCCAGGCTGGAGTGCAATGGCGCAATCTCAGCTCACCGCGACCTCCACCTCCCAGGTTCAAGTGATTCTCCTGCCTCCAGCCTCCCAAGTAGCTGAGATAACAGGCGTGTACCACCATGACCGGCTAATTTTTTGTTGTTGTTGTTGTTTTTGAGACAGAGTCTCGCTCTGTCACCCAGGCTGGAGTGCAGTGGCCCGATCTCAGCTCACTACAAGCTCCGCCTCCCGGTTTACGCCATTCTCCTGTCTCAGCCTCCCGAGTAGCTGGGACTACAGGCACCCGCTACCTCGCTTGGCTAGTTTTTTGTATTTTTTAGTAGAGACAGGGTTTCACCGTGTTAGCCAGGATGGTCTCAATCTCCTGACCTCATGATCCGCCCGTTTCGGCTTCCCAAAGTGCTGGGATTACAGGCATGAGCCACCGCACCTGGCCTTATTTTTTGTATTTTTAGTAGAGACAGGGTTTCACCATGTTGGCCAGACTGGTCTTGAACTCCTGACCTTAGGTGACCCTCCTGTCTCAACCTCCCAAAGTGCTGGGATTACAGGCATGAGCCACCGCGCCCGGCCTAATTTTTGTATTTTTTGTAGAGACAGGGCTTTGCCATGTTGCCCAGGCTGGTCGTGAATTCCTGGACTCAAGCGATCCACTTGCGTCAGCCTCCCAAAGGATTGGAACTACAGGCGTGAGCCACCACACCTGGCTGTCTCTGACTTCTCTAATTCAACTCCCTCTGCCACCTGACAATTTCTTTTCTTTTTTTTTTTTTGTTTTGTTTCCTGAGACAGTGTCTCACTCTATCACCCAAGCTGTAGTGCAGTGGCATGGTACGATCTTGGCTCACTGCAACCTCTGCCTCCCAGGCTCAAATGATCCACCCACCTCAGCCTCCAAAGTAGCTGAGAATACAGGCATGCACCACCATGCTTGGCTAATTAAAATTCTTTTTTTCCTTTTGTAGAGACGAAGTCTCACTGTGCTGCCTAGGCTGGTCTTGAGCTCCTGGGCTTAACTGATCCTCCCACCTTGACCTCTCAAAGTGCTGGGGTTTCATGTGTGAGGCACCATGCCTGGCCAACAATGTCTTTCTGTTCCTTGGTTCAATAAGGCCTCGAATCGGCCCATCTTAGATTGTTGTGCTAGGCTGTCTTAGTTCATTTTGTGCTGCTATAACAGAATATCTGAAACTAGGTAATTTATAAAGTATAGAGATATATTTCTTACAACTCTAAAACCTGGTAAGTCTAAGGTTGAGGGGTCCACATCTGGCAAGGGCCTTCTTGCTGCGTATTCCATGGCAGCAGGTGAAGGGCAAGAGAGCAAGACAGCATGAGAGGGACAGAGAGAAGGGGAGAGAGAAAAAGAAATGGGGTTGAATGCATCATTTTATCAGGAACCCACTCCCTCAATATCGTCATTAATTTATTCATGATGGCAGAGCCCCCATGACCTAATCACCTTCTGAAGGTCCCTCCTCTCAACACTGTTGCACTGGGGATTAACTTTCCAGCACATGAGACTTGGGGAACACATTCACACGATAGTATACACCATTGGTCCGAGGACAGACAGCAGCGAATACATTAAATGGTGATCCTTGACTCCGGTGCTGGCCCTATCTGCTGAAGTCCAGAGGCTGGAGGGGTCAAGTGGTTTAAAGCGTGGCCCCAGCAGGGTTTGTGGTCTGGGCAGCTTAAAGTGAACGTGAGTGAGGCAGAAACTGTACCATCACTAGGACCATGTGATTGGAGCTCAGGATTCCAGATTTGCTGCCCAGAACATTTCCCATGAAATTGTCATTTCTTTATTCAGCAGACATGTCGTAATGCTTGTTAAATGTCATTTATGAATATCTTCCTCCTCCTTTTCTTCCTTCTTGCCCCCAGAAACTTATGATATAATGAAGATAAAGGCAGGAAATTAATTAGAAAACTTGAGCACTTTAGAAGTAGTATAAACAATAACCACTTACTGTAAGTGGTAGCTATTGTTATTGTTTATGCGTCTTCTAAAGTGCTCATGTATTCTAATTATCTTCCTGTCTTTGTCTTTATTATATCGTGTATCTGATTGGTACATGTACCAGTCACTGCTGATCACTTTACATATATTTTCTCACTTAATCTTTACAACTCCCCTGTGATGCCAGCACATTTCACACATGTGGAAGGAAACAGGCGCAGAGAGTGATTCACAGATAATAAACAGCACAGCAGGGCTCTGATGCTAAAGCCTGTTCTGTTAACCACTGTGCAGTCTTCACCATGCTGTTACAGCACAGGGGACCATCTTGGCCTAGGGAGAAGGACAGGGACGACTGGAGAAAGCAGTAGACTTCCAGGAGGAGGTGACATCTGAGCTCATCATGGGCAAGCTTTCCTCAGTCAAGTGTTGGCAAGGCTCACTGTAAACAGAGGAAGCCACATGTGGGAATAGCAAGATGCCAGCAGAGTACAGGGAAAAGCTAGGGTTGGGGTATGAGTGGGAAGAGGGCCAGGAGCACACTGCATGACCCATGAGTGAGTGCCTCCCTACTTCTGTATCCTCAGTCCCTTTTCTCTGACCCTATTCCTAGCCCTGGCGGAGAATGTGAAGATAAGGCCAGAGGGAACATTGAGAAGAAGGATCTCAGAGAAGATGGAAAATTCAACAGAACCTTGGAAATGCAACTGCTATTCCAGGACCTTTGTTCCTGGAATGGACTCTGAGAGTGCATGGTAAAGTCTAAAGTGAAAAATTCAAGAGGAGAGCGCTTTCTTTTACCTGACTTTTGGGTCTTATCTTAGTTATTACTTCCTTTAGGAAACATTCCATGGTCTACCAAGCCTGAGACCCTGAGATGCTGCCTTTTTTTTTTTTTTTTTTTTTTTTTGAGACAGAGTCTCACTCTGTCACACAGGCTGGAGTGCAGTGGTGTGATCTTGGCTCACTGCAACCTCCGCCTCCCAGTTTCAAGCAATTTTCCTGCCTCAGCCTCCCGAGTAGCTGGAATTACAGGCACCTGCCACCACACTCGGCTAATTTTTGTATTTTTAGTAGAGACAGGTTTTCACCATGTTGGTCAGGTTGGTCATGAACTCCTGACCTCAAGCAATCCACCTGCCTTGGCCTCCCAAAGTGCCGGGATTACAGGCATAATCACTGCCTGTAATCCACCATGCTCGGTCTTTTTTTTTTTTTTTCCTTCCAGAAATGGGGTCTTACCCTGTCACCTAGGCTGGAGTGCAGTGACACAATCAGTTTACTGTAGCCTTGAACTCCTGGACTCAAGCAATCCTCTGCCTCGGCCTCCTGAGCAGCTGAAATTACAGATGTGAGCCACCACACTGGTTTGGCGGCTAGGTCTTGTTTATCCTTCCACCCCCAGTAGAGCATGTGGCTCAGAGTGGCTGCTCAGTAAAAGACAGATGAATGAATAACAAATAGCCTGCAAGGAGCTTCTGCCAAGTCTTTCAGACTACATCGATTTTCTCTCTTGTCTCTGGAGTCCTACTGACCTCAACACTTGGAATCCTATGCATGTTTGAACCAGAAGAAATATTAAAAATCACCTAGCTATCTCCTACCATCTCACAGATGGCGTGATTGAGGTGATCACTTATTTGCCAACTGTATTAGTCTGTTCTTGCATTGCTATAAGGACATACCTGAGACTGGATAATTTATAAAGAAAAGGGAGGCTGGGCACGGTGGCTCATGCCTGTAAATCTCAGCACTTTGGGAGGCTGAGGTGGGCAGACCACTTGAGATCAGGAGTTCGAGACCAGCCTGGGCAACATGGTAAAACCCTGTCTCTACCAAAAATACAAAAATTAGCTGCACATGGTGGTACATGCCTGTAGTCCCAGCTACTTGGGAAGCTGAGGCAGGAGAATCCCTTTAACCCGGGAGGTGGAGGTTGCAGTGAGCCAAGATCACACCACTACACTCCAGCCTAAGCCTAGGTGACAGAGTAAGACTCCATACCAAAAAAAAAAAAAAAAAGGAAAGGTGTTTAATTGGCTCACAGTTCCACAGGCTGTACAGGAAGCATGATACTGGCATGTGCTTGCCTTCTGGGGAAGCCTCAGGAAGCTTCCAATCATGGGTGAAGGCAAAGGGGGAGCCAGAACGTCTTACATGGCAGGAGCAGGAGCAAGACAGAGTGGTCGGTTGCTGCCACACACTTTTTTTTTTCTTTTTTTTTGAGATGGAGTCTTGCTCTGTCACCCAGGTTGGAGTGCAGTGGCGCGATCTCAGCTCACTGCAAGCTCTGCCTCCCGGGTTCATGCCATTCTCCTGCCTCAGCCTCCCGAGTAGCTGGGATTACAGACACCCACCACCATTCCCGGCTAATTTTTTGTATTGTTAGTAGAGATGGCGTTTCACTGTGTTAGCCAGAATGGTCTCGAACTCCAACCTTGTGATCCGCCCACCTAGACCTCCCAAAGTGCTGAGATTACAGGCGTGAGCCACCACGCCCGGCTGGTGCCACACACTTTTAAACAACTGGATCTCATGAGAACTCACTCACTATAACAAGAAGAGCACCAAGGGGATGGTGCTAACCCATTCGTGAGAAACAACCCCTAGTATAATCATCTCCCACCAGGCCCCACCTCCAACACTGGGGATTACAAATTTGACATGAGATTTAGGTGGGAACACAGATCCAAACCATATCACCAGCAATCTTAGTTTTTTATCTCCAGCCACAGTTTCTCCTCTGAACTCCACAATGAATCAGCTGCCTACACAGCGCTCATCTGGGATGTCCCACAGTATGTGCATCTAAACACATTCAGAATCAGCATCTCCCCTGAGGCCTAGGCATCCTTCAGCCTTCCCTGTCTTGGTGAAGAACATCACCACCCAACCAGTTGTAGTGACCACCTACCTCCTACAGCCTCCCACTACCAATAAAACAGCAAGCCCAGCAGTGTCTACTACCTAAATCACAAAATCTCTCCAATTTCCCTCTGCCTCCCTAGCCCAAATCCCCATAGCTCTCAAGGGACCCCTGCAAAAGTCTCATTAGTTTCCCCGAATCTGCTCTTTCTTTGTACTAATCCATGCTCCTCATTGCAGCTGGAGTGACATTTTAAAAATGCTACTTTCTCCTTTAACTCCTTTGCTGAAAGATTTCCAATATCTCTCCACTTAAAAAAAAATATATTAAGTTATTGGCCAGGCACAGTGGCTCACTCCTATAATCCCAGCACTTTGAGAGGCTCAGGCGGGCAGATCAGGATTCAAGACTAGCCTGACCAATATGGTGAAACCCCATCTCCACAAAAAATACAAAAATTAGCCAGGCATGGTGGTACATGCCTGTAATCCCAGCTACCCAGCAGGCTGAGGCAGAAGAATTGCTTGAACCTGGGAGGCGGAGGTTGCAGTGAGCTGAGATCACGCCACTGCCTCCTGGGCAACAGAATGAGACTCCATCTCAAAAAAAAAAAAAAAATATATATATATATATATATACACACACACACACACACTAACACTTATGGAAAACTTATGTTCTAAGGGCTGTTCTAAGAACTTTACACATATTAACTCATTTAATCCTCACAACTCTAAATATTCCCATTATACAGACAAGGAAACAGAAACTCAGAGAAGCAACTTCAGGGCCTTTGTGTAAGCTCTTACCCATCCTTGGCTTGTTGACCTGGCTGACTGCTATTCAGACTTCAGATGGGATGCCTTGGGGAGCATTCAAAGATCTCCCTCTCTAGGTCAGGCCCTCGCATAGCATCTAGCACAGTTTTTATTATGTAATTATTTAGGGGGTCATTTGGTTCACGTCTGTCACCCCCACAGGCTTTAAATTCCATGTTTTGCTCATAATTATATCTTGAATATTCAACATATAATAAACACTTAATATTTGTTGAATTAATCAATAAAAAGCATTTTCAGTAGGAGAGGGGATGTGGTCAGATTTGCTTTAGAAGGATTTCTCTTGTGTAAAAGTTTGAAGGTGGGGAGACCAAGTCACCAACAGCAGCTGAATTCAGGAGTGACAGGAAGGCAGGCTGGACTAGAGGAGAGGCAAGAGGGATGGAGAGAAGTGGGTGAACCCAGGAAGTATTTAGGAAGCATAGTGGATGGCACTGATAATTAAGTGGATAGAAGTGAGGAAGAGGAAGGAATCAGGAGGGACTCCAAGTTTCTGAGAGCACTTTGAACTGGAGTGAGGAAGCATCTGCAAAAGAGGCAGGTTGGGTTGGCAGAGCAGGCTGTCCCTAGACCCAAGCAACTGAAACATGGAAAAGCTCTCAAAAAAATCTTTGCACCCAAACTCCTTAGCTTGGTCCTGGTGTACTTTATTCTGCCCCATCTGTGGTCTACCCCCAAACTCAGCACATAGATCACTGCTCCTCCCCTAAACCCCACCTGTCGTCCAGTCCACCTTAGTAAGTGCCACCCCACTACTCTCTCTCCACAAGATGCAGCTTGGAGGATGTCTCCTCTGGGATCCCTCCCCGCTGCCCCACCCCTTCACGGGGTGAATGAGTCCTCTGTAGTTATCAGGATTTGCTGTATCAGGAGTGTTCTTCTGCTGTCACCTGTGAAGACCATTTTCCTCAATTCAGAATCCCCAGCACCTGCAAAAGGCCTGGATCAAGGTAAACCTCAAAAACGTTTGTTTTACTGAATTTTCCCAAAGACTTGGCTTTACTACATTAAGAGCTGAGGCAAGGAATGTGGCAGTAAATCCTGGTGCCACCACTTAGAGATTAGTTAAGTCACTTTTTTCAAGCCTCAGTTTCCGTCCATCAAATGGAGATAAGAATACAGTGGACCTACCTCGAAGAGTTGTTTTGAGGGGAAAATGAAATATGCTAGGTTAAGTGTTTAACACAATGCCTGGAACATGGTTAGTTCCCTCAAAAAATTAGCTGTTATTTATTTATTTTTAAATTCTCGCCTTGATACTCAGAAGGGGCATGAGCAGGAACAGAGGATTGCAGTTCTTAGGATGGCCACGCGAGGGAAGTGGTGAGCAGCCTCCAGGAGGACTTCGGATCTGCTGTGCCAAGGCACCTGCTGAGGACCCAGATGGCCCGCCTGGGGTTTCCGGGGCTTCCCGGCCCCTGAACATGTGGGCGCAGGCCAGAGCGCCGCAGGAGAAGCCTCTTCCAGGTGCTCGGTCTCGACTCTCACAGCCCCAGCCATCCCTCCTGCTTGTCCCCGTCTTGGCTTGGAGGGGCTGGAGGGCAGGAGGGGACAGAGTGGGGGGCAATCAGGATATATCCCCTCCATTTTGTCATTTGTCTTTCAAACTGGTTTATGGCTATTTCTTCTGTATAGAAGTCTTGTAGTCAAACATTTCCATGTTTTCTCTTATGGCTTCTAGGTTTCATCATGCTTAGAAAGTCTTTTCCATCTCCAAGATAATTAAAATATTCACTTGTCTCTTTTCTGATACATTATAGTGTTAAATATGTGCTCCACCTGGAATTTATTTCAGTGTACAAAAAGGGCACAGCTTTTTGTAATTTCCCCAAAAGACTTGCTGGTTATTCCACCCATTTGATCTCCCCCCTCCAACCCCCTTCCAACATCCTCCACCCCCCCACCCCCACCATTTGTCTGAAGTGCTGTCTTTTATTCATTCATTCATTTAGAGACAAGGTCTTGCTCTGTTGCCCAGGCTGGAGTGTAGTGACGTGATGACAGCTCACTGCAGCCTTGACGTCCCAGGCTCAGATAATCCTCCCACTTCAGCCTCCCTGGTACTTGGGACTACAGGTGTATGCAACCATGCCCAGATAATTTTTTTTTTTTTTTTTTTTTTTTTTGATACAGAGTCTAACTCTGTCACCAGGCTGGAGTGAAGTGGCGCGATCTCAGCTCACTGCAACCTCCATCTCCT